AGTTTTACGAAGAAGAAAGATATTCTTTTATATAATTTTAAATAATTAATTAAAGATACTAGAGAGCTATAAAGAAACGAAGAAAATAATTATACGCTAAATTACGCTAGACTAAACTACGTTAAATTACGAAAACGTAATACTTATTCTTTTATATATATCGAATTAATTAATATATAAAAAATTATATTATTATAAGATTTCTTTATATATAAAATATCGTTTAAAATAATAATTTTTAGACGTAGGCTATAATTAGACTATAAGATAGAAGTTCTAATAGTTTATAAAGTAATAATACTTTATTATACTAAGCCTCTAGAATAAAATTAGAAGTATTCTTATAGTAGTAAGATAAGTAGAATAATGAGTAGTCGAAGTAGATATAGGTTATTCGCGGTATACTACGCTCTCAAATTAGATATTATTCTCCGTATAGAGATATTTTCTCGTCTAAAAAGAGCGTCTCTTCGAGCTCTCTAATTAGCGATAGCGAGCTTAGTAAGACTATTAACTAGCGTCTTAGATTATACGATATTATATTATTATAAGACTTCTTTATATATAATATACGATTTTAAACGATAATTAGATAAACGCTTCGACTATATAATAATATCTTATATATTAATTAATTTAATATTAATCTTATAATATCTAAATTAAAATCTTCTAAAATTCTTAATATTAACTATTTAGTATTATAAGAAAAGATTATAAAAATTATAGATTATAAAGACTAATAATTATAAAGATATTTAAGAAATTTCGATTTTTGATTTTCGAGGAGAGAGGGTACTTACGGGAATCTTTTTATTTCTTAATAATTAAGAATATAGAGATATCTATTTATCTATTATTACTAGAAAACGTAGTTTACTAGAAAATATAGTTTTTTTAAATTCGATAAATTCGACGTAATATTAAAATATCTACTTTCTACGATAATATAATCTAATCTACTCTAACGTATTAAAATCTACGAGTAAAGGCCTATGAATTAAATTCATAATCGTTTTTTTTCATCAGGGCTGTCGAGTAAATTTGGTGAGCGGTCTTTGGTAAGCGATCTTTGGTGAGCGATATTTGAATTCCTTGCTTTTAAATATCTATAAGACTAAATTTAGTAATTCCTTCTTTATCTGAAAGCCCACACTACGTTCTATAATTTAAAAGAAAAATCTCAAAATTTTAATAGAAAATAAAAAAGTTATTCTAAAATCAAGTAATGTACACCTGTTTTTTGATTAGGGCTGTCGAGCGAACTTTGGTGAGCGATATTTGAATTCCTTGCGCTTTAATAATTATAAGACTAAATTTAAGAATTCCTTTTTTATCTAAAAGCCCATATTTCGTTCTATAATTTAAAAAAAAAATCTCAAAATTTTAATAGAAAACAAAAAAGTTATTCTATGTGTTAATAATATACATCTATTTTTTAATAAGGGAGGCGTAGAAGGGCGAGATTTTGATGGTTGCGGACGCTAATTTATTTACCCGCGATGACTCAGCCGGTCTAATTAAAAAGCGTAGAGGACCCGAATTTATAATTGGCTGCACATACAAATTCAAGGTTTTCAAGCTCAGCTCTACCTTATTCTATTATATATACTAACGAGTAAAGGCCTATGAATTAAATTCATAACCTATTTTTTTGATCAGGGCTGTCCAGTAAATTTGGTGAGCGAACTTTTGATAGGCGACATTTAAATTCGTTGCCTTTAGATATCTATAAGACCAAATTTAGTAATTCTTATTTTATCTGAAAGCCCACATTTTGTTCTATAATTTAAAAAAAAAATCTCAAAATTTTAATAGAAAACAAAAAAGTTATTCTAAAATCAAATAATGTATACCTGATTAGGGCTGTCCGGCTGTCGAGCGAACTTTGGTGAGCGATATTTGAATTCCTTGCGCTTTGATAATTATAAGACCGAATTTCATAATTTTTTCATTATTAAAAAGCGCAAATTGGGGGCTATAATTTAAAAAAATAATCTAAAAATTTTAATAGAAAATAGTAAAGTTATTAAAGGGTTAAAAGTAGAGTAAGAGATTTTGATAATTGCGGACGCTAATTTGTTTACCCGCGATGACTCAGCCGATCTAACCAAAGAGCGTAGCGAACCCGAATTTATAATTGGCTGCACATACAAATTCAAGGTTTTCAAGCTCAGCCCTACCTTATTCTTTTATATATACTAATATTCTAAAGAGTATAAATTATAGAGTATATTCTATAATATAGTTTAGAATTTAAATAATATAAATTAGCTTATTACTAACTAAGTAATAGTTAATAAAAAAAATTAGAATTATTTATCTTATTTATAATTTACTCTTTAATTAATAGTAATAATCTTATAATAATTATAAAAGCTTTATACTTATAGATATCGTAATTAATATATATTATTATCTATTATTCGAGTTTAAGATTAAGCGATCTTAAATAGAGAATAATAGATTAGCTAGAGACGAAAAAGCTCGCTTAGCTATTAGCGAGTAAATATTATATTTAATATTAATACTTACTCTATAGTAATTAGATTTATTAATATATATAAAAGAATAAAATAGAGCTAAATTAGAAAATCTTGAATTTGTATATATAGCTAATTATAAATTCGAGTTCTCTACGCTTTTTAGCTAGATCGGCTAAGTTATCGTAAATAAATAAATTAACGTCTATAACTATCAAAATCTCGCCCTTCTACGCCTCCTTATTAAAAAATAGATATACGTTATTAATATATAAAATAACTTTTTTATTTTCTATTAAAATTTTAAGTTTTTTTTTTTAAATTATAGAACGAAATGTAGGCTTTTAGAAAAAAAAAGAATTTCTAAATATAATCTTATAATTACTAAAGCGCAAGAAATTTAAATATCGCTCATTAGAGTTCGCTCGATAGTGGAACAGCTCTAATTAAAAAATAGATATACATTATTTGAGTTTAGAATAACTTTTTTATTTTCTATTATAATTTTGAATTTTTTTTTTAAATTATAGAATAAAATATAGGCTTTCAGATAAAAAAAGGAGTTTTAAATTTGGTCTTATAATTATTAAAAGGCAAGGTATTCAAATATCGCTTACCAAAGATCGTTTATCAAATTTACTCGATAGCCCTAATCAAAAAATGATTATGAATTTAATTCATAGGCCTTTACTCGTTTATTATAATAAATTTAAAGTAGCTATATATCTATGTAGATCGTAAGATATATATCATTATTATGCCTAGTTATTATAGAATTTTAATAAGAAGTAGACATTTTGGTGTTGCGCCGGATTTATCGGATTTAAAAAAACTGCATTTCCTAGTAAACTGCGTTTCCTAGTGATAACAGGTAAACGCGTTGCAGCGCCAAGCGGCGCGGCAGTGGCCGCGTTTTTTTGTTCAAGATCTCGGTGTTTTGGAAGCTCAACCTACCAATCTCGCTCCTATGAAGACAGAGGACCTTATGGATAGCTCTTTCGATGTTTCCGACTCATCTGATTGGCTACAGACATCAATATCCCAGCTCGGCCCGGTCGAACAAGCTTTGCGTTGCCAAGTGTGTAAGGACTTTTTTGACACGCCTATGATTACTTCATGTTCTCACACCTTCTGCTCTCTTTGTATCCGCCGATGTTTGACCACTGACGGCCGGTGTCCGGCATGTCGTACGCAAGATCAAGCAATGAAACTAAGACCGAACTCGACGGTTCAAGAGCTTGTGGATGCTTTCAAAGTTGCAAGACCAGCGGTTCTACATTTTGGACAAAATGTTGAAGCTACTAGAGATACCATTGGGAAGACTCAGAAAAGGAAGATAGACGACACGGACATGGAAGAGGGTGAAGATGAGGACGAGGAGTACGTGGATCACAGTCTTCGACGAAGGGAAGTTAGGTGGAGGAATCGAAGGCGTTCGGTATCGGATGGAGAGAACAATGACCACTTTGTCTACGATGGAAGGGATGATGGCTTTCAGCCAGGTCGGTCTGCACAAAACATAGTATTTCAAGCGATTAATACTAAGTTATATCTAGAGGACGGCTTGACTGCATGTCCCATCTGCGGGGCGAGAATGAAGGAGGAAGCAGTCTATCCTCACTTAGACGTACACAACAATTCAGCATCAACAACATCACCAGCAAGGTAGATGCTCCAATGGTATTGATTGATAAGCACACTGACACAGCTTAGGCAGTCAGCTCCTCGTCTCAACGTGATTGCAAATTCTCGTCGACCTGCAAAGGCTATGGAGCGTCTTCCTCAACTGAACTACTCCTTGCTCAAAGATAACGCATTGCGGAAAAAGCTCTCTGAACTCGGCATACCCAATGGAGGTCCTAAAGATCTGCTCATACGGAGACATACGGAATGGGTCAATCTCGTGAATGCAAACTGCGATTCGTCAAAACCGAAGACGAAGCGTGAGCTAGTTCAAGAACTGGAAGCCTGGGACAGAACTCAGGGCCGTCAGATCTTGGGTAACTGTAACGGGACAGGCAGTGCTTCTTCCGTGATGAGCAAAACTTTTGACGGGGCAGCATGGGCCAGTAATCATGGTAATAATTTTCAAGCATTGATCGCTCAAGCCCGCCGGAAGGTGAACGCTAAGGTCGAATCCACCAGCAGCACTAACGGCGCTCCCAATCCGGTGCTTGATCGACGTACTGACGACGGATGTTTGGCTACAAGCGCGAATCGCAACTCAGCAGAAAGCGTGGATCAGTTGCACGATATCCAATCACCAAGAAATCTAGCGGACTTAGATGTAGGTGATTGACCCTCATGGAGGACTACTGCAGTCAAAGGGCAACCGGTCTGGGAATGCTCGTCTCCTCTGAGTGGGGCAGTGTAAATCGGAGTAGCCCCTAAGGCGCCTTTGATATGGCTCAAAAATGAGCAAGTGAGCAAGCCATTCTAGGAGTGCTGCTCTGTGTCCTCACGATGTTGCAGTCTTCTGTGGTCAGTCATTCTGCATTGTCTGTTACGGGCTCATCATCATGCCTTCTCGGCTGTACCACGAGGATCGTCCAGCGACGGACGTTTCAAACCGCTGATACCCTCTTCCATTGGAGGATCTGGAGCTCTTCTGTCGGACGACGGCTCCTGAGGGTTGTCCTTGCGTTCTTCCGGCTGATTGTCCTCGGTCTTTCGGACCGTGGCAATACTGGCGAGCCTTTCCTGCGTCTGGCGCGCACCCTTCTCTTCTTCTCTGGCTTTAGCTTGCCTCTCCAAGCTTTCGAGCTCCTCATCCACGGCACTTTCATCGATGACGCTGTCCACTTGAGCACTCGCTTCAATTACGCCACCAATTTCATCAACCTTGCCCATTTCATCTCTAAGACCTTCGATGACATCCTCCACCTTGTCGATGCCACCTATTTGTGCATGCAGATTTCGGAGCACGCCTGTACTGGCTTCCATGACGCGAACGATGGCGACCTGATCTGCTGCTTGTTCGATCTTGCCATACACTTCTTCCAATTGTGCCAGTGTCTCCGATCTCTGCATTAGGATTGTTTCGCTCAATTTCTTCGATCGAAGCGCAGCCAGCGCAGACGTTCGGTTCTTGTTGTTGATCGCCTTTTGCGCACTTTCTGACAGATTTGAAATGCGCGTTGAGAACATAGCGACTTGCAAGTTGATGTCGGCAATGAGCGTTTTTAAGGAAGCTATTGTTTTGTCTTGAGTCGTTAACGTGGATGAAGTCTCACCTGCTGCCTTGAATTTGACGGTCTAATAGCCAAATTAGATTGCACGCTCTTCGAGTGTGACTAGCTTACCTCAGCGTCATAGATTATTCTTGATTTGTCTCGTGCCAAATATGTGAGAATGAGGTGGAGATCACTCTCGGTCAATCCGTTTTGCGACTTTAAAACTTTTCCAGCTTCAGTACTGAACATGGACATTGGATATATGCGGTCGATCTGATTGCTTGAACTCCCCATCTTGTTGACAATCTTACTCGCGGCTTCCTGTAGCAGAGTAAGAAAGCTTCCATGATCATGGTAGCTGCCACGTACTTCGACGTTCGGGAGTATGACAAAGCTCGCTGTTGGCAGTAATCCTACCCCTATAGACAAATCCAAAAGCCCAAGTTGCTTCAGTCCCCAAGAAAAAAGCCACCACGGTTGAATGGTCCAATTACGACTGTGTATGGACTTTCGAGCGGTGATAAATTCTTGGTAGGGAATCATGCTCCGCTGGGAAACTGCTTCATCCTGTCGATCGACTATTTAGGGATTGCCTACAAGAACCGTGGCTGAAGATATGTATTACCTACTATGACAGCTCTGAGGGCCAACGGTCTCCCCCATTCTTCAGTCTCCAAAGACTGCAGGAGAACTTCTCCGGTCCTCACTGACAACGTGTCATGGTTAGCGCCATCGGATGGCAGCAAGCCAGCCCGGGCAGCTTTGGTCAGCGCGTCGATCCATGCAGCCGTATTTGCTGCAAATCCGTCTGGGTTGGAGTAGCGTTGAAGGGTAAAGTCTGAATAAAGCGATGGCAAACGTGCTCTACATCGGTAGTCAGCATAGTCATATTGTTTATCTTCATCTCTAGCGGACTGTCTGTATGACCTTCGGAACTGCTCTCCCTCGCCTAAGATGAAATTTACAAGCTCGCTCATGCTGTGGCTCGACAGGGTATGCAATAAAAAACAAAGATAACCCTCCACCTCAGCCAAGGATTAACTCTACCGTTGCGAGAGACTGGCTTTCTAGATGACTTCTGAACTCTGAAGTGTCGACGATCAATAGCTGCGGCTATACTTGCCACGCGACTACAAGGCGGCTGCGTCTAACGATAGCTACCTCAAGGCTCAAACTCGAAAACATATTCAAAGTATGTTGATGAGTGGAAAACGCTCTTATTGTGGATGCATTGAATACCCGCCATTCCGTCACTCGCGTTCATAATCAATTCTTTACGCAGGCTGATGAAGCCATGATCTTGGGGAGGCGATCCGCAAGTTTAGAGGAACAACACAAACGAACTCAACTTGCCCCTACATAGAATGATACCATGTTTCATGCCCTATTTCTCCGGAGCTCTTCATTGCCGCCAGTACAGGAGATCTCACAGGGCTCATTACAGGCCGACTAGGCCGAGGCAGACGACAGAGATTGGAACTCTCCATCTATGACACCTTTAGAGCATGAGAATGGGAACCCTGGTGGAATCTCCCAACGCCCGCAACCTGAGCTTGCATTGAGATCGTCAAGAGAATTCACATCAAGCGATCTGCCCAACAACACAGCGTCAAACTCTTCGTCTCAGATAAGAACCAAAATATCCCTGTCTAGTTCAGAGTCTCGCCTACCATTGATTGCGGGCCCGTCGTTAATATACAAGTCCAGGTCACCGTCTAACCTGCGATCGCAGAGCCATGAGCGCTCTTCCAGTAGCAGTCGGGGGTCATCGTCAACGACTTCGGCGTATGATAGTAACGAAACGCACAGACAGATTATCGTGAGGTCTTTTGCGCCTCGGGTAGCCGTCTTCGCATCATCAGACACCGAGGATTTTGTCAAACAAAAAGGTTTCAAAGATGGGCTATATAGCCTCCTCAGACCGTACGGAGAGCATTTGCACGGCAAGGTTGTTATTCGAGATAGCATGGGAGGTAGTAGAGGGTGGGATGACTTCGGCATTAGAATCATCAATTCTCAAGCGCTTCAGACGAACAGCACACATCGTGCAGATGGTGAGATGGTGGATCGAGATGCTCGGAACCTGGTCAATGGTTCTCAACGCGTCTCTGAACATACCAGATCCTCGCACAGTAACGAGACGGTAAAATCCATTGACAGGGTACTCGATCGTTATCTTCGAACCACGGACGCAGCTTCAGAAGGCCAGGGGAAGGCTTATGTTGATCTTGAGAGAACATCGTATGGATCACGATCCGGCCTTTCGCCTCTGTACCCGGTTTATCTACGCAAGCTGCTTTCAAGCGCATCCATTGCGCCCTACGAGACATTCTTGCATCCTGTCGCTTGCCTGATTGCAGTCAGCTCGCACCACCCGGCTCCAATTGAAGCTTTGCGCCAGCTATATTCAAATACCGGTCACGAGAGCCAAAAAGTACCTGCATGGATGGGCATGGAGTATTTACGCTATTATGTCCTCATTCATGATGAAGAGAACGACGACATTACCAAATCAACCGCTCTTTTTGACCTTATGAAAAGACACTTTGGGCTCCACTGCCATTTGCTTAGGCTTAGACGGTCTCAATGTGTCTTAACTGATGATGATAGCACCAGGGTTCCTTCATGCGAGTGGCTTTCGGCAGAAGAAGAAATCGAAAAGCTTAGTATGGGAGGTAGGCTCGTTTGCATGATTTTTTATCATTGGCTTAGTACTAACGTTCGAAGATGACGCCGACGACGTCGAGCTCTCGGAAAAATACATTCTCGAGTCGGATTCCACCGCTATTAAGAATCTTCTTCGCGAGATGGTGACTCAATCCATCGTACCATTCATGGAGAGTAGGGTCATGACATGGAATGACCAGGTTGCTTCCAGGCGACGCGGTATCGGTGGCCGCTTTATATCATTGTCCAAACGCTGGACAGGCTTTGGTACGGCCAAGAGTACGACACTCGGCCTTGCAGGTGTCTCAAATCCGTCTGGAAGCAACTACGATTATCAGCAGGGCTTCTACCCACCAGAAACACCCGAGTCGACCATGCGCCAACTGGGTGATTACGCTTTTATGCTCAGAGATTGGAAGTTGGCTTCTAGCACATATGATTTTTTGCGAGCAGATTTCGGCCACGACAAAGCATGGGGTCATCATGCAGCAGCAAACGAGATGGCTGCGATCACCTCTCTGCTAGTTCCACATGCTTTCAGTTCAAAGTCCAGATCAGAATTACTTGATCAAATGCTCGAAAATGCCGCGTACTCGTATCTTACAAGATGCTCCATGCCATTCAACGTTATTCGATGTCTCACCATTGCAATAGAGCTACTCAAAAACCGTGGCCCTGTCGCAGCGGACGATGCCGCTAGGTGGGGAGGGAAGCTGCTCGAATTTGGTGTACTGACTCTTAGCGCGCAAGCTTTGACCACAGAACGCGTTGCGGAGTGCTATATTTCTCGGACAGGGCCGGATTTTGCTGCTGCAGGCACTCGTAAAAGACAGGCCGCGTTGTGGACTGTCTTGGCATCAGATTCCTGGCTGAGGCTTGACAGGCCGGATCAGGCTCGAGTCCGGCTACGCGAAGCAAGCGCACTGTACGGTATTGACAACCAAGACAGTGCTGGACTTCCGTTTCCAAGCATGCAAGGTCTGTGGCAAAGACTGAATTCAGCTCTTAGGGATGCAGGTGGAGACGACTACGCAGCTTTGATTGACACGAGCGTGGCCCAACCCGATTTTCAGTTGGACACCGCTGAGGAGAAAGAGCAGCTCAACGCGTTTATCCGTCCGAGCATTCTAAGCAGTACCGACGCGGAAGGCTTCACACCTCAAGATGCTGGCCATATTCATCCCACAAGCCTTGATGACTCGCAGCTGCAAGATGATGGCTTTGAATGAACGGCTTCATGTGTGGAATTTTTGAACCAAATTTAGTACGCTAGAAGCGCAGGCGAGCAGCATCGAGCGAATCATTGTGTCGGCGTCAATGTAGAGAGTTCTGGAAGTCAATTATCTTGACTTCGCAACTATACTAAACAAAGAAAGAAAATCTGGGAGTCTACCGACTGACAGTTTGGTTCATACGCCCTCAGATATACCCCTCCCCCGTCCGAATCGACACCTTGGCTTGCAAGTGGGTCTTTGAGGTCACATCAATAGCAATAATGAACGCGATTTACACACCGAGTTCAAAAAAGGCATCTGGGTCTAATGTACTATTATTTCGAATTATTCAATAAGTATATAAGACGATATCGAGTATATCTAACATACTATATCTTATAAAAACTAGAGTATATTTAAAAAAATTATTAATAGAGTATAATTTAACTTTTAATAAAATAAAATAATTTATATAATAAGAATTATAATCTTTATATATTTAAATTTTATTAATTATTTATTTATATACGCTTTTACTTAAATTATAAAGAGTAATTATAAACTACTATATAGATATTATATACTTATATAAAAAAACTTTATTTAATCTCTTTAGATTAGAATAAAAACTATTACTTTTCTTTTCTTTTCTTTACTATCTTATTATTCTTATAATATATTTAATTATTCTATTATAAGTAAAGATCTATAAATTCAATTTATAAGATTAAATTTTTTTAAGTTAAATCGAATTTTAGCGTTAACTCTAAGTTAAATTAAACTCTAATCGCTTACTATATATTTTTAATCTACTTCTATTATTATAAAATTAATAAAGAAAAAATAAAAGTCTTAATTCTAAGTTAAATCGAACTTTACTTACTTTCTATATAATATTTAATTTACTTCTATTACTATAGATCGCTAATTAATTATATTCTTATCTAAAAAAGAAATATCTACTTAATAATCTTATTTTTAATATATCTTATTAATTAAATAAATTATCTTCTTAATAAATTATCTAAAATTATAATTAATAGATTAACTTTACTAATAATTTAATTTAAAATATATATAATTAATTATAAATAAAGATTTTAAGATATAGATATAGATTAATTTACTGTAATAATTAATTCTAAAATTTATTAATTATTATAAGATAGTAAGATCTCTTTTTAATAAAACTATATAGATAGATTAGTTACTAGATAAACTAATAATTAAAAAAAGAAGAAGAGAAAAGAGAATTTACGAGTATTTAAGACTTTTATTAAATATATTAAATATTTATCTTAGCTATATAGCTTATAATTTAATAAGCGATATAAGCGAGATCTATTAATAGACTTTAAGTACTTCTATTCTTATAATTACTTTCTCTCTTAAAAGATTTAATCTTTAAATCTTATTTTTATTATTAGTATATACGAGTAAAGGCCTATAAATTAAATTCATAATCATTTTTTTATATCAGGGCTGTCGAGTAAATTTGGTGAGCGATCTTTGATAAGCGATATTTAAACTCCTTACCTTTAAACATTTATCAGACTAAATTTAATAATTCTTTTTTTATTTAAAAGCCTATATTACGTTCTATAATTTAAAAATATATATAAAATTTCAATAGAAAATAAAAAAGTTATTCTAAAATCAAATAATGTGCATCTGTTTTTTTGATCGGGGGCCGGGGCTGTCGAGCGAACTTTGGTGTGCGATAATTGAATGCCTTACCTTCAAAGAAATATAAGACTAAATTTTAAGATTAATTCATTTCTAAAAAGCGCAAAGTGCGGTCTATAATTTGAAAAAAAAATTATTAAATTTTAATAGAAAATAGTAAAGTTATTAGAAGGTTAAAAGTAGAAAAAGAGATTTTAATAGTTATAGACGCTAATTTATTTACTCGCGATAACTTAGTTAATCTAATTAAAGAGCGTAGTAACTCTAAATTTATAATTAGCTATATATATAAATCTAAGATTTTTAAACTTAATTCTATTTTATTTTATTTTATATATTAATAAAAGAATAAAATAGAGTTAAATTATAAAATCTTAAATTTATATATATAATTAATTATAAATTTATTAGATTTACGCTTTTTAGTTATATTAACTAAGTTATTATAAATAAATAAATTAGCGTTTATAATTATTAAAAAATCTCTTACTCTACTTTTAATCCTCTAATAACTTTATTATTTTCTATTAAAATTTTAAGATTTTTTTTTAAATTATAGATCGTAGTTTATACTTTTAAATAAAAAAAGAATTTCTAAATTTAATCTTATAATTATTAAAGCGTAAGAAATTTAAATATCGTTTATTAAATTTACTTGATAGCCGATAGCTCGTAGTTTTAATTAAAAAATAAATATATATTATTTAATTTTAAAATAACTTTTTTATTTTCTATTAAAATTTTAAAACTTTTTTTTTAAATTATAGAATATAATATAGGCTTTTAGATAAAAAAAGAACTATTAAATTCAATTTTATAAGTATTTAAAGATAAGAAATTTTAATATCGCTTATTAAAAACTTATTTATTTTATTTAAAATACTCTTTAATATAAGTTTAAATAGTCGAGTAATAATAATACTAATAAAATTTAAAACTATTCTATACTATTCTCGATTTAAATCTATTAATCTCTCTCGCTAAAAAATTCTAAAATTCTAAAATTCTAAAATTCTAATAATTATAAAATCTGTTAAAAATATGAAGGTAGAACACTTAGTTATATTAACTATAGAGTTCTATAAAAGGAAAGAGCAACTTGACATAGGCGCGCTAAGGCGTGTCACGTGACGTAATCACATAACCGCCAAGACGCCAAGAGTCATATAATCCGAATTTCAACACTTTCCTTTATACGTATTCTTTTATAAGCGAAACCTAGTAACTACGAAGTTTAATGTTAACGATATTAAAACTAAGTAAATAAGATGAAGTTAGCGCCAGATAGCTAATATAAAATTATACCCCTTATATGCCTATCTCTTATACGAATGAAATTAAAAAACGCGAGATTTAAAGTTCGCGATATTTAAAATAGAGTAAATAAAGTAAAAAGTTGAAATCTAAAAACGATTATATTAAACTATGACCCCTATTTAAATATAACTTAAATTCCACTTTTTATTAAAAAGCGATTTTTCGAAAATTTTATTTCTAGATTATCTAGTATATATTAAAAATTAATTAATTTAAGATTAAAGAATATATATAAAAATAGCTAAATAAAATAATTAAAAGAAATTCTTCTAGCTATATATCGCCGACTATAAGATCTCTATAGAGACTATTTTAGATAATTAATTCTTAATAATAGTAACTATAATAATAGCAATTTAAAGATTTAATATCTAAGATATTAATAATAAATAGATATAGATTCTTCAAAAGAGCTCTAAAAGTTTTAATAACGATAATAATAATAGCGTTAAAAAAATAGCTATTTTAATATGAAATGGCGAGTTCGTATAGTGTTAAGTCTAATATAGCGACTCGGCGAGCGACTTAAGGCGATTACTTATAATACGAGAATTAATAAAATAGCTTCTCTAGAGTAGACGACTTCTCTATATTAAGACTATTAGACTATAATTATAAATAATATTTTAATCTAATAAGTTAATAAAAACTCTTAAACTTATTTTTATAGAGAGTCTTAATAAGATTATTAATTATTTATTAATCGATAGAAATATAATCTAAAATAACGTTTTTAGTAATAACTTATTCTCATATATAGTAATACTAAATATTAATATATTTAATATAGATATAAAATTAAGAGTTTTTAATTAGTACTATAGCGTCTTAATTATTATAAAAAATAATTATTACTTATATTTATTTATTATTAGAATTAAGCTAATCTAATAGATCGCGTAGCTAAATTACTTTTTTAATAATTTATATTTAATTAATATATTTAGTCTTATAAATTAAGAGTATTATAATAAATTATCGCTTTAATAATTAATTAATAATCTTATTATTAATATTAAATATATATCTAAAAATAAAGTAATAAATATCTTAATTATCGACTTAATCGATATTAATATAGTCGCTTAGAGATTTTAAATCTTCTCTAAAAATAAATTAATAGTCGATAATTTATCTAAAATAGCGAAAAATCCGCTTAACCGCTTTTTAATAGACTTTATTAAAGTTCGAGCTATATCAAAATATTATCAAGATTACGAATATAATATCTAATTTTATATCGAGTATTATATATATTAATAATTCTATTATTAATTAATACTTAATATGAAAAACTTCGAAGATCTAAAAGTTCTCTTCAAATATCTAATATCTTTCGATATCTATAAAAATAAATATATCTTTAAATTCCTATATATTATACTTAATAAGAAACTTTTTAATATATCTTATTTAATTAAGTCGAATAATATAATTAATATAATTTCTAATAATAGTTATATCTAGATAATAGATATATAATCTTAAATTAATTATTTCGAAATAACTACTAAGCTTATCTTTAATATTTTAAATTTCTATTTTATTAAAATCGACTAAAAGAATATTATTTATATAAATTATAATAATTATAATATTATTAATAAAGATCGAGAAATTAATTATAATAGACTTAAAGCTTAATTTCTTTAGATATATAAAGAGGGTATTATATTAGATTTTTAAAGATTACTTTAAATTATATAGCGCCTTCTTTAGCTTATATATCTTATACTTATTATTAATCTTAAAGCTCGTAGACTATATTATATAGATAGTTTTCTTTATATTATTATAGAGAAAAGCGATTTTAATATTTATTTACTTTAATTCTTAATTAAAAGCTATTACTAAAATAAAGATCACTTTATAATTTATAGATTTAACTATAAAGGCGAAAGTCTTATTAAAGTTTATATCTTTACACTATTTAAAATTATAAATTATCTATTAAGCTTTATATTATATAATCTTCTCTATAAAGTCTCGCTTAAGTTTATAGACTTATTTAC